GATCCGAACCCTCAGCGGGAGCGCCGCCGCGCTCCCAAGTGGCGCACTGTAGCAGTGCGCCACCGGGCCGGCCCACACTCAAGTGTTTTATATTTTTAGCACAATAGGCAAAGAGGAAAACATTAACCACAGAATGTAATAAAGATTTTGTTAATTTCATGCTTTTCATTTATTTGCTTTGATTAATCCCTGGAAGAAAATTTTTTAATAAATTATTTCGCTTTATTTACATGACACAACAAAGATTCTTCTTGTGAGTCAGGTTTTTTTTAAAGGGTCTTTTTTAAATCTAAACCTATTGATTGTACATATTTATGGGGTACAAAGTTATATTTTCAATACATGTATACAATGTGTGATGATCAAATCAGGGTAATTAGCATCAATTCTTATTTCCACTAGCTACAATATAAATTGTGGTTGTCATGAATCCTGTGCACCAATGTTTCCAGGTCTGCCTACATGGCACATGGTAGAATTGCTCTTCTTAGCTCTCTTGTGATTTGGTGTAGCCGTGTGACTAGTCCTGCTAATGAATGAGTTTTAGCAGAAGTGGACTGTGAGATCTTCCCAAGCTCTCTCTTTTTCAGGCATGACAACATGATGGTGACTGCTCCCATTAACCTGTGTCCTTGAGTGACCATAATGAGCAGACTCCCATGACAGTGCACGGTGGACATGCTATGGACAAGAAATAAGCCTCTGTTATTGTGACCCAGTATAAACTACTTTATTCCGACTAATGTATAAAATATGTTTAAATAGTTAAAATGCTTTGTGGAGGTTATTAAACTAATGACAAATGAAACTCTTTAAAGGACAAAAGGTATTTTTAAAAAACAAAGATACCATGAAAGATATTGATAGGAGGGCCGGCCCGGTGGCGCACTGGAGAGTGTGCCGCTTGGGAGCGCGGCGGCGCTCCCGCCGAGGGTTCGGATCCCATGTGGAGACCAGTTCCCACTCACTGGCTGAGCATGGTGCGGGTGCAACACTGAGGGTTGCGATCCCATTGCCAGTCCCCGGTACGGGCGTGACACCGAGGGTTGCGATCCCGTTACCAGTCAGTAAAAAAGACAAAAAAAAAAAAAGATATTGATAGGAAATTAATCAAAAAGTCAAAGGTATTACTGGGTAGAAAAGATGTGGGTTACTTTTTCTTAAAAATACTGTTATCTTTTTTACAAGAAGCATATGTACTATGTGATTCCAACTATAGGACATTCTGGAAAAAACAAAACTATGGAGACAGTAAAAAGATCATTGACTGCCACAGGTTGGAAGGAGGGAGGGGTGGAGAGGTGAAGCACAGACTTTTTAGGACAGTGAAACTATTCTCTGTGATACTGCAGTCTGACAGGTGGATACATGTCCTTATATATTTTTCCAAACCCATGGAATAAACAATATCAAGAGTGAGCCCTAACGTGAACTATGAACTCTGGGTGATGATATGTATCAATGTGGGTTCATTAATTGTAACAAATGTACCACTCTGGTGGAGGATACTGATAGTGGGGGAGACCATGCATGTGTGGGGGTAGTGGGTATAGAGAAAATCTCTACCTTCCTCTAAATTTTGCCCTGAACCTAAAACTGCTCTAAAAAATTAAATTCTATTTAAAAGGAAAAAATAGAAGTATATATTATTTTTATAATGGAAGAAGGAAGCTCAAGTATTAAAGGTCTTTCATCTGAGTATGTGCTAGAGTATTATATAACAATAGTAGTCAGCATTGACTGTGCACTTAACAATACTAAGCACTTTTATGTGTATTATCTCATTTAATTCTACCGAAAGCCAGTGAGGAAGGTAATATTAGTATGTTGGCTTAGATAGTTTATACAGCCGAAGAGAGTAAACTAGGGACTAGCTCCTTTAAGTGTAGTTCCCAAACCAACATCATCAGCATCACCTGGGAGCTTATTAAAAATGCAGCATCTCAGACCCTCCAGACCTACTGAATCAGAATCTGCATTTTTACA